TTATTATTTTTTAAAAAATTTTATATTTTTATCAATTTTAAAAATTAAAAATTTTATTTTTAAGAATTAAAAAATTTTAAATTTTTACTCTTATTTTTAGTATTCCTTTTTGGGAATTAAAGCAAAAAAAATTTTTTTTCCGTAATAAATTTAAAAAAATGATTGATTTTGATTTTTATATTCAATTTTTTTAGGTTTTTCTAATAAAAATTTAACTTTTATTTGTCCATATCCCTTTATTGGTATAAAAAACTTTTTTTTTAATTGGTTGTTTATACTTTTTTAAAAGATATTTTCGAATTTTTTACTATTAAACATTTAGCTTTTAGTATTTCAAGTTGTTTGAGGAAGCGAAACCGAAAATATTTAATGAATTGATTTTTAAAAAACCTTAATTGGTTGATTGATTGATTTTGCTATAAAACCTTAATTGATTTTTTTTTTGAATAAGATTTTCTTGAAAAATTTTTTTTTAATTTTTGAAATTATTTAGAAAATATTCTCATTTATTCAAACCATTTCTCAAAATATTTTGTATTTGTTTTCGATGAATTAATTATAAGAGTAGCGACGCCATCTTAAAAAAGAGAAGCGACGCCATTTTAAAAAAGAGAAGCGACGCTCTTTTTAAATTTGACAAATTTAATATGCATGCATGTTAAAAATATTTTAAAAGCTTTAAAAAGCAAAAAATTGCAATAAAAATGTTCCTCTGTAGCTTAGCAGGTAGCGGTTTTGATTCGTAATATTCATTAGTTGTCACGGTTCGAGAATGTTTAGGGATAATTTTTAATATTAAAAGTCCAAAATATTCACAAATAAAATTAGGTATTTTCAACCAGTTAAGAGTTTAATCAACTGAAAAACGTGTCAATATTCACACATTAAGTACATCAAAAATAGAGTTAGAGATGTGAACTTTCATACCTTGGATGATCAAAGTGTTTAAAGGTGTGAAAATTAACACCTTAAGATTGTCAAATTTTGTTTCTCGGACCCTTCCCCCGACACCCTTAAACAAATTGATTTAGTCGTCAGGATCAAAGGAAAAAAAGGTGTGATATTTCACACCTTGACGATTTACCGCACTCCTAGTGCGGTAATTTGGTTTCGTCGGACCCCTCCCCCATACCTTGGATGATCAAAGTGTTTAAAGGTGTGAAAATTAACACCTTAAGATTGTCAAATTTTGTTTCTCGGACCCTTCCCCCGACACTTTTGAACAAACTGATTTTGTCGGCAAGATCAAAGGAAATCCCCTTGTGTTTTGCGGACCCCTCTCCCAACACTTTGGAGCAAATTGGTTTTGTCGGCGAGATAAAAGAAAAAAAAGGTGTGAATTTTCGCACCTTGAGGATTTGTCGGCAAGATCAAAGGGGAAACAATTTGGGATTGCGGGAAAGATCAAAGGGGAAACAATTTGGGATTGCGGAAAGATCAAAGGGGAAACAATTTGGGATTTTAACAAGCGGCAAGATCAAAGGGAAAACAATTTGGGATTTTTACACGCGGCAAGATCAAAGGGGAAACAATTTGGGATTTGTCGGCAAGATCAAAAGGGAAACAATTTGGGATTGCGGGAAAGCGGCAAGATCAAAGGGCCCCATCCAAATCCTTTTGGAAAGTCCCCTAAAATCCATTGACTCCGCCCCCAACCCCTTCAAATCCTTTAAGAAATTTTGCGGACCCCTCCCACACCTTTAGGAATGTGCGGTAAACGGGGAAACAAAGTGGGGTGGTTAACTACTTTTAATCGAATTTTTAGCCCAAAAATGAGCTTGGTCCACCCTTTAATTTTTCAATTTTCGGGGGTCTGTATCTCGGCCCAAAGATAAGGCCTGTGATTGATTTTGGTGTCATTCGACACAGCTCGACGAGTTCTATAAACTATGACTCACTGACCATTTTTTATACTTTTAGGAAGGAAAAAAGGGGGGGTACGAACCGAACTATTACCTCTATTTCCTTCATTTTCTAAATTAGCAGTCTTTTCTCTCTTCAACTAAATTTTTTTCAAGTTTTTCATAATTAATAGTTTTTCCAAATCATTTTTCTCTTTTTCAACCAAAGCCAATCAGAATTTGATGATAATCCTTCCTCAGCCATTTTTAGAGAATTTTTAAATAAAATGTATAAAAAAATATTTTAAAAACGAAACTAAAAATTAAAATATGGGGTCAATCTGAAAACCTACACCCCCCGGGTAACCTTACCCTCGAATTTATTCTACGGGCCCTGAAGACCTATAGATTTTAAAAGGAAATATCGAGGAATTAAGGGAGATAAATACTCAGCTCTGTTACGAGTAGTTTACTTTGGAAAAAATTAATTTTCTGCTTCACAAATAAATTTAAAAAACAGACAGCAATTACAAAGATACAGAGAGTTATTTTATATGTACATATTTAAATATTTAATAATAAATAAAATTTTTTTAGAAAATATTTAAATATTATGGGGAAAAATAAATGAATGAAAAACATTCAAATCTTTATTTATATATTTTTTGCCGAAAGACAGTTTTGTTGTGAATATAGGTTAAAAAAATAGGGAGGTAAAAAATTTATTTATTTGTTGAGGGAAGTTTTTGAAAATCAACAAATAAATATACTATCATCCTTTTTTCCTCCACATTTTTCTCAACCTAATTATTCAAAACAAAATTTCTCTGGGCAAAAATTCCTTCAATAAACTAAAATAAATTAATTTATAAATATGTATTTTTAAAATTTAATTAATTTTTTAAACTTTATAAATTTTAATTTTATTTTAAAAAATTAATTTATTTTTATTTAAAGTCCTTGGAACGAAAAATATTGTGTTTGACTTGTCTAAACTTTGTCAAATATTAGAAAATTTCAAAAAATGCCTCAAGAAGAGTTATCAACAAATTCTGATTGGATTTTGGTTGAAAAAAAGAAAAAGAATTTTAATAAACTAGAAACTGATTTGGTAATTCCAAGGCTGCCCCCCCCCCTTTTTTTCTGTTCGCCTGACAATTTTGGTCTTTTTTGCTTGACATATTATTTACAATATATCATTCGAAAGAGCTGTTCGAGCTGAGTAGAATGATACTATGATCGGTTCGATTTGGAGATTCTGAGCAGAATTATGAAGCTAAATCCTCGATGGACGTGTTTTTTGTGATGTTGAAAGGGATTAAAACAAATGCTCATAACTATGTTTATTTAAGTCGTATTTCGATGAATTTAGTACCGTTCGACTCAGCTTGAAGAGCTCTTTCGAACGATATATAATTTGCCATAAAAAGTTTAAAAAATCGAAAAAAAATAGAAAGGAAAAAAAGGGGGGGGGACCAGCCTTGGAATTACCACTGATTTTAACAACCTTCAAATAAAATTTATTGAAGAGAAGGAAAAGAATTTGAATCTTGAAAATAAAAATGTTTTTCTTGAAAATGAATTGAAGGTGATATAGTTTTGGATATATTTTGGATAGAAAATTTTTAAAAATAATTTTAGAAGCTTCAAAAAACTAATTCTGACAATGAAAATAAATTAAAAAAAATAAATTCCCAACATAAAAAGGAAATTGAAGGAATGAACCAAAAATTTCAAAAATTAATTAAAGAAAAAACTAAAAAATTGAGGGCAGAAAATTATCAAAAAGATCAGAAAATTATTTCTTTGGAAACTGAAATTAAGAAGGTAAATAAATTTTTATTTTTTTGCCAAGAAATATTCTAACTAAAATGAAGCAAATCCGGGATCCCGTAATGACATTTTTCTACTCTTAAAAGAAAAATATTGATGAAATTGAAAAATTCTCAACAAAAATGAAATTGAAGGAATGAACCATTTTTTTCATTCCTTCAATTTCTCTCTCTTGATATCGGAGAAAATCCTTAAATTGAAAAAATTAATGGGGATTTAAATTGATATCATGAAATTTGTAGGGAATAAGAAGGAATAAGTGGATTTTGAGAAATAAAGAATGTAAAAGAATAAAGAAGAATTGTGAGAGATATCAGGGGATTAGGGATTGAGAAAAATTAACTTTAAAATTTAATTTATATAAAAAGGCTCATGAGTTATTTGACAAAAGGATTAATTATTTATCGGTTAAATTGAACAATATGTATTGTAAATATTTGGTTAGTTTTTAATTAAAAATTAGAACCTCTTTAACTTCAATACAAATTTTTTTACATTAACGAGACCAAAAGTAAATATATTTTACGGGCTTTCGAATGAGCCTTGAAACAATCTATAAGTAATCAAGAATAGTGTTTTACGAAAACGTTTTACATTGATTTTCAGAATTACAGCGTACTACACTGGTATTTTTCGGTATTTATCGGTATTCCGTACATAGTATGGTACAAAATTCCGAGCATCTATTAAGGATATCGAAATGTCGACATTAGAATAAGATATAGGCTAGTTCTTTTTTATTTTCTCAGTCCCGATAAACAGATTTGCTCGATTTTTTTCTCTAGATTTTTTGTTTCAATGAATACTAAGTTTTAAGGATTTCCTGCCTTTTTGTTATGACTTTATTTCAAACTTGTAAAAGTATTCCTGGAATATTTTAAATTAATTTTTTAGGACCTAAAAAAGGTTTCCTACAAATTTGATTGTTGTAGTGTTTGCCTAGAAAGTTTGAGTCATGAAAATGTCTATACTTTAAAAAATTGTAATCATACATTCCATCAAGAATGTATTACTCCGTGGATTTCTGAAGGGGTAAGAAAATTTATTTTTTAATTTTAAATATTCTAAATAATATGAATACTGTTTAATAACATCGAGATTTTTATGACTTTTGAATAATTTTCTTTATATTCTATTTTTATAAAATCCACAAATCAAAATAAAATATTTTTCCAACTTTTATTATTAACATTTTTAGTCAAAAGATTGTCCTTGTTGCCGAGTTCCCGCTACCTTGACGGATATTAAACAATTTTATGTCGAAAAAGCAAGTGACAGTTCTGACGAGTTTGATGTTGAATTTTTTCAAAATTCAAATTATATGACTAGAGTTGTGAGTAATTTATGATAAAATGGGATCTGATTCAAGTAGGAGCCAATTGAATGCGTATAGGTCAAAAACCCTAAAAAAATTACGAAAAAACAACGGGGAAGTTGTCCCGGGGACGGGTAATTATTCCAACAACTGGAATAAAATTGTTTTAAAAGTGGACATTATATTTTAGGATATTTTCGGGGCGCAGCCGATAGCGGTGATAAAAACTAGAAAGTAAGTGGTCAAGTCGGGGCAGTGTTGCTTCAGTGATTGTTTTAAACATAAATCCGGCCTCCGTTACTAAAATTGAAAATTAACATTTTAAAGGAATTTGTTAAAATTAAAAATAAATGGAAAGAGATTGATAGTGAATACAGTAAATGTTGTAAAAATAATTGTATAAATACAAACAACCCTATTGGTAAATGTATTAAAGGAAATGGATTTGGAACCTTAATTAATGATGAAAATATTAAGTATTTGGTGGGGAATGGAGGTAAATTCTCAGAATTTTTGAAGTTTATTTAAGATATTTCTAGGTTGCAATAAATACATAGCAGTTTATACAGAAAAAACATTCAACAAACCACAATGTTGTTTTAATTATTCCTTATATTATTTTGAAATTAAATGCAAACTTGAAGGAAAGTTAAATAAAGGTGATAAATGGATGTCTATTGGTCTTAAAAATTCGAGTACAAAAAAATATATTTATTATTCTGCAAATTATGCCACAATTTTAAACGACAAAAATGAAGCATTTAAACTTGAAATATCCTTCAAAAATAACGATATTTTTGGTTGTGGATTAGTTTATCCTCCGACTAATAAATTAGATAAAAAAGAAGAATTTCCGTATATTTTCTTTACAAAAAATGGAAAACAAATTGGTAAATAATTAATTTAATTTATAAATATTTAATAAAAAAATATATTTAATAAACTATAATGTAAACTTTTAGGAGATAAGTACCAAAAATCAATGCTCAGAAACATCTTTTATTTTTCTTTTGTCGAAATTTTCTTTAAGTTACATATGAAATTGTCAAAAATAAATAAATGCAATAATTTCACATGAGATAAGCCTTCAGTTTCTGAATCAAACGTTTGATATTTTAACTGTACAACAAGTTGGGGACCAATACCATACCCGCTATGAGCTGGGTGCTTAGCCTTTTGACAATTTGATAACCTTTAGAAAGGAGAAAAGAAAAGATAGGGAATAACGAATGAATATCAAAAATTTTTATAAAAAAATTGTTTTTCAAAGGAAAAGCTATATTGGTGAAGAAGAATTTCTGCTCATTTAAACCAAGTGTTGATTTGGATTGTTGTTCAATTGAAGCTAATTTTGGAAATAATTTCGAAGCAAGACCATTTAGATATGATATTTCTAAACATTTAGTTCTTAAAGAATTTTATTGAAATTTGTTTTTTTACTTTTTATAATTTAATTTACTATCAATTTTTAAATATTTGGAAATTATTAAAAAAGAAATTTTTTAGTACATTCTTTTCTATAAATTATCATTTTTTATTTTTTTTATCGTACTTCGCAGTTCTTGTTAACATAATCACACTACAATTTTAAAAATAGATCTTCTAGGGACTTTATTTAAAATCAGCAGTCCCAAGAAGGGGGAGGAGGATTCAGTTATATAGTACATAATATTTATTTTTTACTTAATTTTTCATTCACAAAAAATATTTTTTGCTTGGCTTGTCTTTCGATTGGATTTCTGACTAACAACCCTTTTCTATCTCAGTTTATATTTTATTAAGTTAGCTTGCTTTTTCTCATTTGAGAAAATATTTTCTAGTTGAGAGAGGTTTTTCTATTGATATTCTCCAAACCTAATAATTTGAGTTTGGGCTAACTAAACATCGGCCAGATTTGACCGTTATAACGTTTTTAATCTTGATTCAATCCAAATGAATAATATTATCGGGCCCTCAATAAGTGGTATCTTTCTTAATACTGTGTGGATCTACAGTGGCGGAAATTTACTTAAGACCGGTTGAATTTTTTTCTTTAACCTTACTTTTCTCTCCAGCTTTATAGAAATATGAAATAGTCTTTTGGGTATTGAATAGCTCTGATTTCAACCTATCTTTTCTGTAAATTTTTTTAATGTATTACAATTACAACCCAAAATTTTTAGCAAAAACTTGAAAGTGTGCGCGAAATTTACTTAAGACCGATTTACAATCTTCAAATTTTCTGACTAAAATCAATTAGATGTCGCCATCCCTTTTTTTCTTAATAATACACAGGCAACGTAGATTCGTAAAATTGACTAAATTCATACTCGCTCATTTGGCATATACAACCAAGCTTCATTTGACCCCATGAAAAGCTGATCTCGGTTTTTGGGGGTTTTTGACTCAATCTGCTCGTCGACACAAATCCAAAGCATCTCAATTGGATCTAGATTTGTACCTTGGGGTGGCCACTTCACGATTGTCCAACATTTTTCTTCGGAAAAATTTCCTGAATCTACCGAGTTATGAATCTACCGAGTTATGAATTTTTGAAAATTGAAAAAACGCGATTTTTTGCCATTTTTCGTCAAAAAATCGCATTTTTGCGATTTTCAAAAATTCATAACTCGGTAGAATCTCGACCGATTTGGATGATTTTTTTGTATTGTATGTAGAATCTGGAGGAGAATCACATATATTTTTTACAGACTTCAAAAAAATTTTTCCGAAAAGTTGAAAAAGTAGTACCTGTTAGACCGGTCGAAAAGTTGTCGAAAATATCAGAATTTCGAAAAACGCTGAAACATGTCAACTGAGTCGGAAATCAAGCTATTTTTTAAAATTAAGATCTTCCAGATCGGATAAAAATGAAAGGAGTTACATAAAAATAATACCGGTCTTAAGTAAATTGCCGCCACTGTAGTCTTATTATTCATTAAAAAATTATAACCTGATAAGTAATTTATGTTATATTTATCAAGCTATAATTTTAATGAGTGATCAAAGTTTATCCATCCAGTTGGAAAAAAATACAGCTTATCGAGTTCTTTTGATAAGATTCACATGGATTCATAGTAATAATTTTATAGTTCTATCAAATCCGGCCAGCGCACATTAGCTGTTTTGTAATAATTATTTTTATTTTTCTTTAATAATTAAAAATACTTTTAAATTCTCCACAATTTTGTAAATTTAATTAAATTATTATTTTATTTTATCAAACATTAGATTTTATTTTATCAAACATTTGTTTATCTCCTCTAAACTTTATTTTTCAGCAAAAGTTACAAATTCCGGTTCAGTACCAACATTGGCGTTTTGTTGAATGGCTATCAAATGGACATTAGTAAAATTGTGCCTCAAGTTTTCCAATTTGAATTGCCCTTTGTCGGTGAACGGAATGTAAATGTCCAAGGTCAGCCGAATGTTAAGAAACAGCAATTCGAACGTGGGTCCAAATTGGCACGGAGGTACAGCACATCATCACAACCACAGGGAGAGGCTACATCATGTTAAACAACAACTTAACAGATGAAGAGAACCCACAGCAAGAGGTGTCTTGGACTACATTGGAACGTTAAGGGCAGCAATACCGGGCTTTCCATTAAAAGAAGAGGAAATAGGTCCAATTGCAGCACACGACGACAGGCCTCCAACACCGGTCAGACTCCACTTCACATCCTGCACCACAGTGGAACGACCAACAACAAAAAGGTCGCGGCTCGATGTTCCAACGGAAGTAGAGAAAGAGGTTGGATTATCTTCGCATTCTTATAGATTATTTATGAGAAATACTAACACTAAACGTTCTTTAATTTTTCAGAACAGGAAATTGGGTGGAAATGTCAGTGGAAATGTCGGCCCGTCGACATCGCAGGTGTCAAATAGAGTGAGAGTTTTGAAAAAGAATACTATAACAGTTCGTTTTCCTTCCAGGAACGAACAATGGCAGGCAGTGCGGGACCGTCGACTTCAAATGACACAGGAAGAGTAAGAGTTTTCGAGAAAATTGTGAATAACAGTTCGTTTTCCCTCCAGGACCGAACAATGGCTGGCAGATGGGGACCTTCTACTCCTCCAGACATGGAAAGAGTAAGGGTTTTTGAGGAAAGTTCAAATGATCGTTCGTGTTCTTTTCAGGATGGAACTTCAAAAGAGAATCGGGGACTACAGGCTTCCCAGAACGTGAATAGAGTAAGGGATCCAAAAATAATTTTAAATAACAGTTCTTGTTCCTTTCAGGACGGAACATGGGACACTAATTGTATGGAACAGTCTACCTCTCAACCAGTAGACCGAGTAAGAGTTTTTAAGAGAAAATTAAGTGAAAATGGCCGTTCGTTTAACTTTCAGGACCGAACTCAACAGAATTGGGATGAGAATATGGCTGGAACATCATCTAATGCTTTTGGTGAAAGTTGGCGTGACTCCGTCACCCAACGCGGTAATCCAGAATTAATCCCAAAATATATTTCAGCCGCAATTATAGGAAACCAAGTCGACACTTGTCAAAGCAAATTGAAGACTACTTTGAATTCCACCAACAGATCGATGAAGAGAACGAGAGAAAACAACAAGTGTTTAAGATCATCAAAGACGCAATAAAGGAGAGAAAGTTATGTTTTCCGGAACTAACTACTGCTTCTGTTACTGGTTCTTCATCCACTCAATTAGCAGCATTTGAATCCGATCCCGACTTGACTTTCGCGACGACAAAACCTCTATCTATAGAGAAAAGGTTGGAGATTACTTGTGGTCTCCAACACGTCTTCGTCAGGAGAGATTTCGACTTTTACAACATTGACGTATAGTTCAAAATTTTGTTTTTATTTAGAAATCTGCGCCACAACACGTTTCTGGTGATTCCAGGATCTCGCCGAATTGATATACCTTCTCGTCATCAATCTGATTCTGTTAGTTTGTTATATGCTCTTGGAGGAGAACAGATATTTTCTGATCCTTCTACATCAGCAGCTGCTCATACGGTTGCTGAATTTCTGTCACGTTACACTCCAAGTAACACTTCAACAAAGAAATCTCATTGATTATCAAACACCATTAGCTCTGCCTGTACAAGGCTTTTTTAAATATTGAAAAAATTTAAACGAAAATATAAGGATAATAATAATATTTGCATTTTTTAATCGAATTTATGAAAAATATTTTCTATATTTTCAACCTATATTTTCATCATTTGAATGATCATTTTTTAAATTAAATTTTACTCATTTAAAAATTAAATTTTCAAACGACTATTCGTCTTCGTCAGGAGAGATTTCGACTTCTTTTATCCGATTCATTTTAAAATGAGTAATTTTATTTTGCCTCTTTATTGGGAAATAACACAAGTAAATCGACCTAACTCACTTGGTCCAAAGTAGTGATGGTCGGGAGTTAAAAAAACCCGAGAGTCGAGACCGAGACCGGGAATCGACCCCGAGACCGAGTCCCGGGTCGAGACCGAGAGTCGAGACCGAGAGTCGAGACCAAGAGATTAGGAGGGATACCCTCTCTCAGTCTCACATGTCCCACGGGACATGTGACACAACAAACTTCACAACAAACGTTGCAAGGCTTTGAAGCCATAAATCCTCCTATTTCATCCATTTCCTGCGCCGCAGGCGAAAATTTTGAAAAATTTGGGAGGCCAATAGCCAGATTTCTTTCTTTTTTACCGCCGGAGGCGAAAACGCTGCGCCGCAGGAGGAAATTTTGAAAAATTCATGATTAAATTAAAATTTTTAATGTTTTTTTCAAGTTTAAAAAATTAAGAAAAAATAAATTAAAAATTTTAAAATCAAAATCAAAGTTTAAAAACGTTTATTTCCGAAAAGAAAAATTTTCACAACCTCATTTCCACCTTAGGATTCGAACCCAGCATTTACGAAATATTTAAGGGAGTGAAGTCAGTAACTT